TTGCAAATGTCCAGAGAACACTTTTATACCTATATCAGATAAAATAATTTAAGATGAAATATTTAGTGAGATTTTTCTTTCAAATATAAGCTTTGTGTACCTTTATACATGAAATATGCTTTGTATCGATACTCCTTTGTAATATGCTGTAGCTTTTAAAGTGGTCAGTATGTGGACCAGGTACAAAGTATGCAAGTTAAAAGTAAAAGTGTAAGTAATGATGATAATGTTTTGGTTTGGCTTTGCTCTGGTGGTTGGTACCATCCTCAATCTCCAATTTTTAATTTGTTGAATTTTGGTTGTTTCTGCTGTAAAGATCACTTCAGAATGAATAAGAAAGTTATTTCATTGGCAGAATTTTGAATTTCAGAAAAATAACCAAAGTATAGTCTTTTATACTGAAAATGATAGTTAACAATTGATACCTGTCACAAAATATGACTAGATGGAAATTTTAAAATCAGGCTGCATCACACTTTCTGTAAAAAGTTAGTAATTTCCATTTTTTTCTGGAAAGAAAAATGGAAACTTGATGGTACAGACAACTTTAGGTGCTGTAAGTACAGAGACAAGCTATCCCAGTCTTGTGTCCAATGGTTCTTATTCAGTTATTTGCAAAGATAATGTATGCAAGTGACTGAACACAACTTTATCCAGGTTTCCCATACCTAGCAGCCATTTCTTAAAAATTGTTAAAGAAAACACTTTGGATATACGGGGTTACTAATAATTTTTTCCTTACATACAAATTAATTTAGTCCCATTAAATGAGAATAAGTCAAACCGTTAACCTTCTGTTTGTGTGTTATATACATGTACATACTTCCTCGGAAATTATATAACTCTCGAGACTAGTTCCCCCCTCCCCTGTTTGGAGTGTGGGTAAGATTTAATGGCTCCAGTAAGTCTCGCTCTCAGTGTATATTATGTGAGCCTATGATTCTCAACAACAAATGTGTGAGGGAGCAGGAGAGGGAGAGAGAGGGGGAGGGAGAGGGAGGGAGAAGGAAAGAGGGAGGGAGAGAGAGGAGGGAGGGAGAGAGAGGAGGGAGGAAGGGAGAGGGAGAGGGTGAGAGAGAAGGAGAGGGAGAGAGAGGTAGAGAAGGAGGGAGAGGGAGAGAGAGGTAGAGAAGGAGGGAGAGGGAGAGAGAAGGGGAAAGGGAGAGGGAGAAGGACAGAGAAGGGGAAAGGGAGAGGGAGAAGGTCAGAGAAGAGGGGAGGGAGAGGGAGAAGGAGAGAGAAGGGGAGAGGGAGAGGGAGAGGGAGAAGGAGAGAGAAAGAGAGAGGGAGAGGGAGAGGGAGAAGGAGAGAGAAGGGGAGAGGGAGAGGGAGAAGGAGTGAGAAGGGGAGAGGGAGAAGGAGAAGGAGAGAGAAAGAGAGAGAAGGGGAGAGGGAGGAGAGAATAGGGGAGAGGGAGAGGGAGAGAGAAAGGGAGAGGAAGAGGGAGAAAGAAGGGGAGAGAAAGAGAAAGAGATAGTGAGAAAGGGGGGGGGTTCTCTGTTTCTGTTTTTGTTTACATTTCATTCATTATGGAAAGGAGTGCAATTATGTAATGAATGATATGTGAAAAAAAAATTGTAATGCAAATGAATAATCCATGGTGATACATAAAGAAAAATATAGATAATTTTATTTAATAAAGGAATAAAGAAATAGGTAAATCAATAAAAGCATAGTTTTAAGCCTTCCCAAATTGTCTCCCCAACAGAGCTTAACAGCTTCAAGACACGCCGTGTGGCAGCCTTCAAGAAGAACCTAATAGAACTGGCTGAATTGGAACTTAAGCATGCCAAGGTATGATACACTTGCTTTGTATTTTGTTTTGTCTGTCGGTCTGTCTTTACTACCACTGATACTTTTTTCCATCTTGAATATATGTCATATCTGAAACCTATTATTTATCTTTTTGTGGTCTCTTGCCCATCAATGCATAACCGCATTTCTAATTATTTTATGATTTTTTTTTTTTTTTTTTTTTTCTTGAAATTATATTTTGATTAAAAAAATATATATTCTTCCATTTTAACCCATTGGAGAGAGGCAAATTATTCAGTAAAGTCCAGCAAGGCTTGCTGTTGTGTTCAGTATCTTGTATTTTTCCCACCTCAGTCTTCTGGTCTCCGTGTATTAGTTCAAAGTGTAAATCTTTCATTTTTAGTTACATTACATATTGTACAAATGGTATTCACTTATTTCCTTTGGGCTGAGGTCTGCCTCCAGGTGGTCAGTCTTGAACCATAGGTTAGCAACAAAGCCAGAGCTCCTAGGGATGTTCTTCCAGTGAGTTCCAGAGTCTAAGGGGGATTTCTTTCTAGCACTGATGGACAATGCATAATCGTAGGATGTCAGAATCGTTTGAACTGTTATGCAGTGACATGAAGTCCTGATCCTCCTCCAGATCCTCCCTCTCACTTCTGCTGTTGCTGATATTGTTGATGTAGTCTTGGTCAACCTCAAAATCCTAGTTGGAATCAGGCCCAAGTTCATTGAGATTAGGGAC